TAACCGTATTTACATTGAACCTTATGGGAAAATTTACCTCGACTTGCCACCACCTCGCCTTGCGATCAGAGTCATGGAACGGATTAAGTTCGTAAGTAGAGGTACCACTGTATTTGTTAACTGCCTCAATCTTACAACTCTGGATGTTATACATGGTACAGAGTCAGGTTACCTGTGGGACTGCCTCTCCCTAAGGACATCTCTCCTTCCTACCAGATTGGATATGATGGGCATGCTTCTAGTCCCTTCCCTTGAACATTGCCATGTTATGGGACCTAGGAAGCATGCCTTTTCCGTGGCAGCCCCTGCTCTATGAAACACTTGTCCCCCTGAATTTTGGCAGGCCCCCACCCTCCTAGCCTTCCAAAAAACACTTTAAAACCTGGCTTTTTCCCCCAAGTGCTGGGATAGGGTGAGACTGATGAGAGGACCTGGCAATGGTTTTAATATATTGATATTGTCTAATATATTGATGTTGTTTTCACTGTTGGTTGGGAGCCACCCAGAGTTGGATATAAGATGGACAGTTACATAAATGTTATAAATAAATTTAAATAAACTAAAAACAAAACAAAAACGAAGGGAAAAGCAAACAAAAATGTACATATATTGAAGAATGCCAAAAGTAAGGTTTTCATGCTTTTCCTTCTCAGAACAAGAAGAAAGGGGGAAGACAGATGAATCTCCCAACAGAACCAATGCAAAGTGGATTTATGAGAAAAGGATACAGAAGCTGCTTGGAAGAGAGTGAAAAGAATTAGATTTCTGAGTGCCACTGAAATGGGTGAAAAGCAGTGGCCTTTGTGGGGGGGGGAGATGAAAAAGTTCAAGGTGGCAGCTGCAACTGTGTGATAAAAGCCCTGCCCCCTTGTACGTGTGTAAGATGTGAGGTAGGGCTTTGACTGTATGGTTATGGCTGCCATCTAAACTTTTTTTGATGTCCACCCCCCCCCATGGATGCTCCTGGAGTGGAACTGCACCAAGCAGAAATATATGACAAAGAATACTTGATAGAATGATGAAATAAGAATTTATGGATAAGGAAAAATGATTATAATAGAACATTTACCACAAAAACATGAGGATTAGAGAAACGTATTGTATAATGTGTATAGTGAGAAAGGGATAGTTACAAAGAATGTGGTCAAAGAGAGCAAAGAACACTTAAAATTAAAAGGGATAGAGAAAATGAGGTTTAATTTTGATGAAAATGAAGAATATTATAAATATATGTGCATAAGGAAAACAAAGGATGAAGTCCTAAATCCAAAGAGAATGTTGAAACATTGTACGGCTGCAGGTGCACATGAAGTAACTGGAGAAATATTAAAATAAGGTTTTGGCTTGCATAGGAGTTGCTTTTGCGACTTGTTTGTGGGAAAACAGCATCTGTGCCTGGTGATTAGAAAAAATGCTGTAATTATTCCTGTACATACATACAAAAGGAAAGGTAGCACAACTAAATGCAAAAATTACCAAAGGCTTGTAATTACTAGGGAAGGTATCTGACAGAATTCACTTGAAAGGGTGAGAGAGGTGCAATGCAGCCAGGAGTATCTGCAGGTACGTGTGTGTGTGTGCACAAATCAGATTTTTGTTGTTTAGTAGGTCACCGAGAAGTGCATGAATATGAAAAAATAATGTTTATTGTACTTTTGTTGACTTAGAGAAAGCACATGATGAAGTGAATAGGCTTGAATTATGGAACGTTTTCCTTGAATATGACGTTTGGTTGTTGAATTTGCTAGGAACAGTGTAAGAAGGAAGTAAAGCCTGCCTGAAAATAAATGAAATGCTTCATGAATGGTTCAACAGGGAGAAGGGAGTAAGATAACATTGTGTTAGGAGCTCTTCACTGTTCAATGTATTTAGGAAGAAATGGGTAAGGAATACATGTAGTGACACTGGAAGTGTGTTGGTTAGGGGTGTGAATGTACATGTGATTTTGTTTGCAGCTAATACCATGCTGTAGGCTGAGATCCCAACTGCACTGAGTGTTAGACTGTATATTGCAAAAAGGAATATGTACTAGGAGGGACTTCAAAATTAATGTATCAAATAGTTGACAGCAAACATGGAGTGAATGTGAAGGTGTTTGTTACTCTTTTCATGTTAGTCTTCCTGTGGTTTACACTATTCTATAGAGGTTCTATAGAGGTTCTTAACCAGGTGCTTCCTCTTCTTGGATGTATCAGCAAGAAAGGAGATCTTTTAGGAAATGGCAACTCCGTTACAGTGTACCTAACTAAAGAGGCATCCAGGAGATATCTTTCTGGCACCAGGTGAAAAGGTTTTGATAATATGGGTATTCAATCAGTTGTAATTGTTATAGGTTTCACTGTATTACAGTTGTGTTTCAGCATGGTTGTAGAAGGGAACCAGGGTTGGAACTAAGTAGTACTTGCAAGAGAGATCATAGGAAAGCCTCAGGGCTGTAGACTAGAAGTTGAAAAAGAAAAGAAAATCCTGGCAAGCTGCTTCCATACTATTGCCAAAAAACCCTCCAGGGACTTGTCCATAAAAACACCAGAGACTGAGCTAGAGTTGAAGGAGGCTTCACCTTTATACACATGCTATCTTGAAATCATGAATAGAAGGAAGAGAGGAAGGAAGAAAGGCGTTATCTATATATACATAAAGATATGGGTGTATACACATGTGCACACACCCACACACCCTATAGCCAGTCCTATTCTCCAACCCGAGAAGTGTGGCAAGAGGAAAAGGAGCCTCAATGGCTTGCCATCTCCTTACTCATCATAAAAATCTGAGATCATTAGTGATGTCACTCAGAGGGCCCTGACCCCTCAATTCCCAGCAGCACTGGCCTGGGGTGCCAATAGCTGCCATAGGTTCACTGATTGCAGGAGGAAATGTATAAATAAAATGAGTATGCCAGAAGGCTCTTTCACTCCGTATGCCAAGTGGTTTAGAGATGGGGCAAGTAGTCATGACCTGTGGATAAGGGTCACGTGAATGAACTTACAGAGAAAAGATTCCCGGAGCCTCTCTAAAAAGGAAGAAAACAGCAAAAGAAGAAAATAATGATGAAATGTGTAAGTAGTAGCTTTGCCAACGAATCACATGGAGAGTAAGGACAGTACCCTTAGCAAGGTGTGTCATTTAAAAATAGACTTAGGAGGCTGAGTAAATGGGCTGACTTTAATGGACCTCAAAAAAGCAAATAAAATGAAAAGCCATTGTGTAACTGATAGTGGCATTCAGTGAGCATACAAGCAAAGTGGGTAAGCTGTAGCACCAAGTTGGATGAAGCGCAGCTCCATTGTTGGGCAAAGCTGGGCCCAAATCAAGTTATTCTAAGCAGAACAAAACAACAGGGCTTTGACAAAGAATACCATTTGTACAAGTCGTCTCAGGTCCAGGGGAATGATTGCAAAAACTACAAATCCAAGCACTGCAGAGAAAATCTTTTTACAAAGCCAGTAATGGAAGCAGAAGCCAGAGGGGAAAAATTGTATAAATCTTGAAAACAGGAAAAACACAATCCAAGTAACCTTTGGAAAAGTGAGCTAGGCAAAAGGAGTGAGGAAAATGGAGGTCTCGCTAATGCCAAGCCATTTAAAACAAAACACAATGCGGATATCTATTGTACAAATATAAAACAGGCATAGTCCATCCTTACATAAATAAATCCAATTCTTAACAAATACAAGCTCTGTTGAGTCACATCATGAAGGGGGAAGCCAAGAGGTGCTCACTGGCTCCACTCCATCTGCGATCACTCTTTCACTGCCCTCTGCCTTCCATGTGATGGAGGAGAGAGATTGAATCAGGAAGCCCGTGGCTTCTTCCAAGCTTCGGAAGAAAAGGAAGAGAACTGATTGCAAGAGTTGGGTGTGGCTATTCACAGGGCTTTTAAAAAACAAATAAATAAAAAAGCTGGGAGAGATCTCTTGCCCACCTTGTGCATTATAAACCCTCTCTAGTGTAAAAAATATTTTAATAATTTTTTGGGGAAAGGACTAGACCAAAAAACTTCTCAAAGCAAAAACTTCATGTGAAATTCTTCAAAGACTGAAGGTGGAGGGGGGAGGTTGATCTAAAGGAACATGTGGTTGAATTAATACTGGTCACAAATTATGTCTGCCTAGTGTTCATACTGTACTCCAAGTCTCCTCTCCCCCCCCCAAATGGACAGGGGGTCTAGGGAATTGGGCTACTATTTTTAATATACCAGGTGGTAGGTGTGGCTAAGAAGGTTTAGATTTTTCTTTCTTTGTTTTCAGTTTTCAAAGGGCTGGACCCCTCAAGAACAATTAAGCGATCATAGGGAGCCAACTTTTTAGAAAGGTCATGGAGAAGGTGGTGAGTGTCCTGGAGGAATCTGATTATCAGCATCCCTTCAGTCAGGTTTCAGACCTCTTCTGCTCACCCATAGCACATTCAGTCTCTTCTACCTGTTAGCTACGCGTGGTGGTCTCTCCTCTTATCCACCATAAGATAAGCCTCAGCCTCTCCATCCCTGCCCACGCAGCCTTTCCTCATCCACTATCTGGGTGCATTCTGCCTATCTCACCCAACCCTCACACCTCCATCCACCCACACCCTACCTACCTAAGCCTCTCTCACTCATTATACTTGTTTGGTCACATTTGCTCCTGGCCACCATTCACCATTCATCTCAATGGATGAGAAGGCTGCCCAGTTGACAGGGACAGTGAATGGAATTGATTTGTATTTTCCTAGGCATTACTGTGGGAAAGACTATTACCAGTTTACTTTTGTCTCAGTTCTGCTGTCCAGGTTGAGACCTTGGATGAGCAACTTCACAGTTCTTACTCCTCCTTCATGAGGAGTCCAAACTGAATTAAGATCAGCAAGTCTTTGAATGCAATATAGGATGCATTCAAATGAAAAAATTGTCATATGTAGTTTAGGACTTATTGGCCATCTATACAAGCATCAATTTTGTCAATATATTAAAAGTGCTTTCTAAAAGAACAGCTCTTTGCTCTTTCTTTTCCTAACTTCTGATTCTATGAGTTTATGTAGTGGTAAAGGAAAATGCGTTGTGCATTGTAAATTCATATATCTGTGGACAGAATAGGATTAGCATTTTACACAAGAAGTTACAAGATTCTGGAGGAGGCTGTATCAGGTATTTCTGGAGCACTTCAAGCTCCTAGTCTACCAGAGTAATATTTGAACTTTCAAACCATACTCAGTTTTATCATATCTGTATGCTACAAAGAATAACTAAATTGATGTTATAAGGTATTTGTAGATAAGCCTTTAGTATATCATTGTTGTGCCTTATATACAGAATTAGGGAGGAGGGGGAATCAGATGATGTTATCCTCCATTTGTAATTCCTACCATTTTTATATCATTTTTCTCATTGCAGAAATCCATTAAGGAGGGCATAATTTTTAGAATGCAAGGAAAGGAAAAGGCATGATTGACACAGAGTAATAAAATTGTCCCTATGTAAGGTACACAGTTGTTCCTTCTTTTCTATCACCACCTCCCCCCTTCTAAAATTCTTCAGTTTTGTATATAATAGAGCAGAAGTTACTTTGTGTGCCACGTTTGGAAGAGAGGTACTGTAGCTTTCTGTTAACAAAAGGAGGGAGAGTCAACCCCTATTACCACCACCCCATTAGAACTGAAAGGCAGGGAGCAACCTACTGGCACCAACAAGGTTCCTTTCCTCCCTAAAAGAAGACAACTCAACTGTAAAACTCAGAAGAAGAGGGAGGTGCAGAAAGAGAAGAAGAGAACCATGACTACATCTGAATGTCTGAAAATAGTTAGATGTAGGGTCTTTTAAGTGTGACAAAAAAAGTGGAACTGGCATTGGCTCAGCTATATCCTGCCCGCTGTATGAGTGAAAGAGAGAGCTCTGCCATGTCGCATGAGATGGCTCACCCAATTAGCTGCTCCCCTGGTAAATGGACTGATGAGTGAGTCCAATGAGACTCAGTCTTCCCAGCTGCTGTAAAGGACCTTCACATTATCCCTCTTCCACCCTGTCAAAGTGAGAAAAGAATCCATGGGGGCCTGATCAGTATTGGTGCCACCATGAATAGAGTCAGGGGAATTAAAGCTCCTTATCATCATCTCTTATGGCTGTGGGCTGGAGAGGGAAACTAAAGTGGCAACAGAGGCAGAATACCTAGAGAAGCCTTCTCTGTGAGCCCTCTCCAGGATTTCATCTCAAGAAAAGTAGTCAATAGGACTGTGCTTACTTCAGAAAAAAATTGGGAGAAATGATTTGGACCTTGCTGAAATATAGCACTTCTCTGCTATTCATTAAAGCAGCCCATCAGTTTTCAGGTTTCTGATCCACTGAATTACTAAAGTTTATTTTTGGTTTTGGTAACTTTGAGTCAGTTTTTGACTCCTAGTGACTGCCTGGACCAGTCCCTGCAGTTTTCTTGGCAAGGTTTTTGGAAGTGGTTTGCCCTTGCCTCCTTCCAATGGCCAAGAGAGAGGGACTAGCCCAAGGTCACCCAGCTAGCTTTGTGCCTAAGGCAGGACCGGAACTCACAGACTCCCAGTTTCTAGCCTGATGCCTTGACCCCTACACCAAACTGGCTCTC